TTGCAAACGGTTCAACACGAGTTATAGATATCTCGATGGTTACACAGTTTTGGCCCTTTACCAGTTATAAGCACTTATAATCCCATTTATAGAATGTATAATCCCATTTATAACCAGTTATAACTGATAAATGGCCATAACTGCACCACCACATTTTGCAGGAAAATCACCATGTTTCATCTTTTTTTTCATGGTCGAACCTTATTTTTGCCGGTTGAACCACCATTTTTCCTGGGTTTTCCGATGACCTTCTTTTGGGGACGGATGACTTTCGCACAGCGAGGCAGATCCCACGGGGCTACGGAGGTCGAGAGGAGCGCGAAGAGGTTGGACTGGGGATGTCCTTTTGGGGATGAGCCATGAAAGTTATACCTGGTTGATTGGTGATGATTGGTGAATCTGGTTGGTGGTTTGGAACATGAATTTTAATTTTTCCATATATTGGGAATTTCATCATCCCAACTGACTCATATTTTTCAGAGGGGTTGGAACCACCAACCAGCTATGCATTTAGGAGTTAAATGGGAGACTAAGTACCCCAATGGCTAGTTCATCGGAGTGAAAACACGAACTATTTTTCGGGATGATCGGTAGATCAGTGCCACAGTACCAAATACCATGTTGGTTGGTTGTATGGAGGCTGAAGCAAAAATAAAAATACAGGTTTAATACGGTTTAATCACTAGACATGGGGAAATGACAAGTTGGGTTCCCCCCCACCTAGCTGACTTCGTTTCTGAGTAGGTCACTAGGGTTTAGCAATTTCACCGATATGGCTACAGTTTGATGGGTTGATAAACCAACTTATTACTGGAGGGCCCATTGCAGGTGACATGATATTCGCAAATTGAGTTTCAGCCAACAAACATGGGTTGTTAATGAACGACATTTGGGGGGTTCCATAAATGGGGGATCCCCAAAAATGGTTGGTTTATAATGGAAAATCCATCTGTAAATGGATGATTTAGGGGTACCCCCATTCAGAAAACCTCTAATGGATTTTTGAGTAAATTATAACGACCTGAAAACGACATCACTTTGAATAAATTGAAACGATGGTCAGTAAGGGAACCCAAAATCACCGTATGTCAAATTGGTGAGTTGGGGTAGTTTTAACCACATCAGGGTGATACTCAGGGAAATTTCAGCAAGGGAGCACTTTGGGTTGAGATATTGATCACCAAATGATGTAGTTCATGTTCACATGAAGATATGTTAGTAACAACTAAGATGCCAGGTTGACTTCAAAGTGCCAGTTTGACCGCTGGCAATCATTCTTTGGGGTAACACCACTGGCAACCTTACAGTGTTTGTGATAGACTACCTACTGGTATGTAATCATGAGCAAGGCTGGAATGCAGATTTAGTAAAGATTAAATTCGATTTTAATCTTTATTAAGCGCTAACCCCGAATGGTCCGGCTTAAAAATAAACAAATTCGATTTCAATCTTTCTTAGTCTGCGTCTAAGCCTTGTACACATGGGGTGTGTTCTCCTGTAAAATAGAGAAGCATCTCCCATTTAGTTTGATGATATTCTTTTTGACGCCTCCATTTCTACTTGTTTACTACAATTTTGCGGATTTCCTAAATATATTCCACTGTGTTTTTCCATGTCTTTTCAAACATGTGTTGTTTTTTTCCGATGATTTTCCCACGCTCTTCACATTTACAGATGGTTTTCCCATGTGTTTTGATATGTTTCTATCATTTTCTATCAACACCTCCATTTTTCAGCCCCAGGTCTTTGCAGCTCCCAAGGTGGAGGTCAGCTGGTGACATCGCTGGATGTCATGGGGTTCGGTTTAACCAACGAAAATGCGAATTGAATGGGATTGAAGCAACGAAAATGACGATTTCATGAGATTTAACAATCAAACATGGGGATTTAATATGATTTTTCATGGGATATTCAGAAATTTTCATGGGATTCTATTTTTGGGGATATGATGCTTTATAACTAAGAAAAACCGTGATGACATATGATATCATTTAGTCCCCCGCAAATCTTCGTAGAAATCTAATCGTGGATGTTTCGGGATGAAACCACGGCTGGAAACGGGTCCGTCAAACCATGGCCATGTTTGATTGTTATGATAGACATGATGATATGACAATGTCCAGCTATCATTGAATTGTTAATAATATATATATATAAAGAGGTTTCCATGATTTTCCAATGATAACTCTGAACATGCTATGGCAGATTCAACTGGAAGAATCTGCTGTTTATGTAACAAAACAACAATGAAAATGTGTAATATATACACATACGTATATATATATATATATTATATGCAAAGTCAACTGTTCCAACGCCATCATCAATTTACATGTATAGTTGTTTTTTCCCGGAAGCAACATGGTTCTCTCGCTTCGTGAAGCACACCTGAGAGTAGCATTTGAACAGATTGCGGGAGGACATCTGGTGTGAAACTGATTATATTATATAGTTTATTGCAATGATTTTCAATGCAGCTCATTTCATCAAGGTGGGTCCATAATTTGCCATGTACATTTTGCATTTAAGAAGGACCCCTTCAAAAGCCTTGTCGACGTTCTCGACATTCAGGGAGTTTTGTGGTAGTGATTCCTTCGTCCAACCAGTCCATGACAGGAACCGGAGAAAAAGGCAGAGGAGGTCAGATGCTAAGTCCAAAATCAGATAAACAAACCTGGAAGTCGTACGTATAATTCAGGTGTGAACTTAAGATAACATAAGTCAGCTTATTCCTGATTATTGCTGCATTGCTCCACATTGCATACCAGACATGACCATGGTGTTATCGCCGAACGGAAATGATGCCCTCACAATATCTCACAATGACCTCACCATGGCAAGGAAAGCCTCGAGAATCACAGCTTATTTTCAGGTTCATTAAATTATTTTAAATGTACTTCAGCCATATATATATATATATACACTGGTTGGTGGTGGTTTGGAACATGAATTCTAATTTTTCCATATATTGGGAATGTCATCATCCCAACTGACTCATATTTTTCAGATGGGTAGGTATACCACCAACCAGTATATATATATACATTTGGGATCATCTGGGCATTATTCCTTTAACTAGCAGTAGGCCATACTGTAAAACCAATTGGTATGGGAGTGTCACCAAGCCAAATGACTTCATGCCCACTACTGGACAGGAATAATCTATGTTTTTTCACATGTAATTTCATTAGACAATTCCTAATATAGATTTTTAACCATAAGTATGCCAGGTTGACGACTGGAAGTGCCAGATTGATGGCACCCAGATTCCAACTCAAAGAGAACTCGGATGCTATGATATATAGGTTCAAATGATATGTTTATGGAATCTGGGCAATTATATAGTATATATATACACATATTTTATTTATATTGAACTCTTCCAACGTCATCATCAATTTACATGTATAGTTGTTTTTCCCCAGAAGCAACATGGTTCTCTCACTTCGTGAAGCACACCTCAAACCCGGATTCCTGGAATACGGATTCCTTGTTAATCTGAGAGTAGCATTTGAACAGATTGCGGGAGGACACCTGGTGTGAAACTGATTAGAGGGACCCTTCAAAAGTTGCAGGGGCCTGTGTTTCGGGGTCTTCATTTTGCTCTTGTAGTCACGCTAGGTGGCTTTGATATGATGTGTTATATTGCGCTATCCTGTTGCTGGGTTCTGATTCTGGTTTTTGTCAACAATCCACCATATGTCATGATCCCTCATATGTCGCTATCCCTGGAGGACACCTGTTTCTTTCCAAAATTGGCTCGGGGCAACATTCGTGCACCCCATTCCTGCGGACAACAATGTCAACACATGTCAACACATGTCAACACCATTCACATTTACATGCTGACTATTCTTGACTTTAAATCGTGAGTTCACATCCATATCACACATCGTTGGGTCGTGAGTTTGTTCCAAATGAAGTGAACCCTTCAATTGCTCAGCATGGACTGGGCCTGCTGCTTGTGCTTAAGATGCGCATGTTATTTGCATTTATTTTCACAGTTGGAAGGAAACAGGATCTTTTAGACTGGACGTCCGAAAGAGTCTTGAATTGGCATTTTTGGTTTTCGTGGTTAGTGGGTGTCACTACGCCTAAATTGTTAAGCAGAATCTAGTCAAGAAGCTGATGGATGTCACTCCATGTCACCTTCCTTTCCTATCCATTTTTGTCCTGGTGAGAGGTGCTGTCACTCTGTATGCGAAAGAAAGATTGGTTTATGCCCTATTTTTTCCCTCCGTAGGTTATACATGTTGAGAGCAAACAGGTATAGATGTTGATCTCCCATCTCCCAATAAAGGAGATGATGAATCTTAACAGCGCTGGATAGAAGCATGTACTAGACACAATTTGGTGTTCCACTCAATGTACTTAGCGGCATTTGCTTTCACAACTCGGAACGTCTATTTCAGCCGTTGGAGGGATCCATATAGACAGACATCATTGTAGGCCGATTTAAGTGGTGCAGAATACCCTGACAGGAGGGCGACATCTTCAAAGTGGAAGAGGTCCGATGGGGGCGGTGACAGAAAGGTTTTCCAGAATCCAACCCATTGATTTTACAGTAAGTGAAGTCTTGATGTCACTGTGGAAAGGGCAGACCTTGTATGGTCGAAATGGAAATGTCATGTTAAGTTCCAAGCCCGGCAGTAGCAAACTACATGTAGTTCGTGTGAACAGTCGACAGGTGCATAACTTGAGGGTCATGCCAATATAGGGAAGGTATGGGAGGGTCTTCATTTGTTCTTCTAGTCGGGTCAAGTGGGTTGGATATGATGTGCCATACTGCGCCTTTCTGTTGCTGGATTTTTGTTTTTTTGGCACCAAAGTTACCAAACCATCACATTTGTCATAATCCTACAATAAACAATCAAACAAAAAACATACATTCTGGATAAGTTTGAAAGACTTTGAACATCCGACTGGTTGTTTCCAAATGCAAAACAGATGAACTCCAAGAGAGTTCTATGGTTTTGACTTGATCGGAGGCCACAAAGCCAATGGAGTTGAAGCCGGAGGAGAGTTCGGTCATGATCTGTTGGGTGATGACTGTTGATCCGATAGCAGCTAGCGCAGCTAGACACGTTCTGTTTCTTTTCCAAATTGGCTGGGGGCAACATTCGTGCACCCCCATTCCGGACAACAATGTCAACACATGTCAACACCATTCACATTTACATGCTGACTATTCTTGACTTTAAATCGTGAGTTCACATCCATATCACACATCGTTGGGTCGTGAGTTCTGTTCCAAACGAAGTGAACCCTTCAATTGCTTGAAGGAAACAGGGTCTTTTAGACTGGACGTCCGAAAGAGTCTTGAATTGACCTTTTTTGTTTCCGTGGTTAGTGGGTGTCACTACGCCTAAATTGTTAAGCAGAATCTAGTCAAGAAGCTGATGGATGTCTCTCCATGTCACCTTCCTTTCCTATCCATTTTTCTCCTGGTGAGAGGTGCTTTCACTCTGTATGCCAAAGAAGCCTCGTTTATGCCATAAGTTGGTATAGATGATGAAAGCAAACAGGTAAAGATGTTGATCTCTCGTCTCCCAATAAGAAAGATGATGAAGCTCTGTCTATTTCATCCGTTGGAGGGATCCATATAGACAGACATCATTGTAGGCCGATTTAAATGGTGCAGAATACCCTGACAGGAGGGCGACATCTTCAAAGTGGAAGAGGTCCGATTGGGGGCGGTGACAGAAAGGTTTTCCAGAATCCAACCCATTGATTTTACAGTAAGTGAAGTCTTGATGTCACCGTGGAAAGGGCAGACCTTGTATGGTGGAAATGGACATGTCATGTTAAGTTCCAAGCCCGGCAGTAGCAAACTACATGTAGTTCGTGTGAACAGTCGACAGGTGCATAACTTGAGGGCCATGCCAATATAGGGAAGGTATGGGAGGGTCTTCATTTGTTCTTCTAGTCGGGTCAAGTGGGTTGGATATGATGTGCCATACTGCGCCTTTCTGTTGCTGGATTTTTGTTTTTTTGGCACCAAAGTTACCAAACCATCTCATCTGTCATAATCCTACAATAAACAATCAAACCAAGAACATACATTCTGGATAATTTTGAACGACTTTGAACATCCCACTGGTTGTTTCCAAATGCAAAACAGATGAACTCCAAGAGAGTTCTATGGTTTTGACTTGATCGGAGGCCACAAAGCCAATGGAGTTGAAGCCGGAGGAGAGTTCGGTCATGATCTGTTGGGTGATGACTGTTGATCCGATAGCAGCTAGCGCAGTTAGACGCGTTCTGTTTCTTTCCAAAATTTGCTTGGGGCAACATTCGTGCACCCCATTCCTGCGGACAACAATGTCAACACATGTCAACACCATTCACATTTACATGCTGACTATTCTTGACTTTAAATCGTGAGTTCACATCCATATCAGACATCGTTGGGTCGTGAGTTCTGTTCCAAACGAAGTGAACCCTTCAATTGCTTGAAGGAAACAGGGTCTTTTAGACTGGACGTCCGAAAGAGTCTTGAATTGACCTTTTTTGTTTCCGTGGTTAGTGGGTGTCACTACGCCTAAATTGTTAAGCAGAATCTAGTCAAGAAGCTGGTGGATGTCTCTCCATGTCACCTTCCTTTCCTATCCATTTTTCTCCTGGTGAGAGGTGCTGTCACTCTGTATGCGAAAGAAAGATTGGTTTATGCCCTAAGTTTTTCCGCCTATAAGGTATAGATGATGAAAGCAAACAGGTAAAGATATTGATCTCCCATCTGAAGAGAGATGGTGAAGCTTGACAGGGTTTTGGTAGGAGCATGTACTAGACACAATTTGGTGTTCCACTGAATGTACTTGGGGGCATTTGCTCTCACAACTCGGAACGTCTATTTCAGCCGTTGGAGGGATCCATATAGACAGACATCATTGTAGGCCGATTTAAATGGTGCAGAACACCCTGACAGGAGGGCGACATCTTCAAAGTGGAAGAGGTCCGATTGGGGGCGGTGACAGAAAGGTTTTCCAGAATCCAACCCATTGATTTTACAGTAAGTGAAGTCTTGATGTCACCGTGGAAAGGGCAGACCTTGTATGGTGGAAATGGAAATGTCATGTTAAGTTCCAAGCCCGGCAGTAGCAAACTACATGTAGTTCGTGTGAACAGTCGACAGGTGCATAACTTGAGGGCCATGCCAATATAGGGAAGGTATGGGAGGGTCTTCATTTGTTCTTCTAGTCGGGTCAAGTGGGTTGGATATGATGTGCCATACTGCGTCTTTCTGTTGCTGGATTTTTGTTTTGGTACCAAAGTTACCAAACCATCACATCTGTCATAATCCTACAATAAACAATCAAACAAACAACACACATTCTGGATAACTTTGAAAGACTTTGAACATCCGGCTGGTTGTTTCCAAATGCAAAACAGATGAACTCCAAGAGAGTTCTATGGTTTTGACTTGATCGGAGGCCACAAAGCCAATGGAGTTGAAGCCGGAGGAGAGTTCGGTCATGATCTGTTGGGTGATGACTGTTGATCCGATAGCAGCTAGCGCAGCTAGACACGTTCTGTTTCTTTTCCAAATTGGCTGGGGGCAACATTCGTGCACCCCCATTCCTGCGGACAACAATGTCAACACATGTCAACACCATTCACATTTACATGCTGACTATTCTTGACTTTAAATCGTGAGTTCACATCCATATCACACATCGTTGGGTCGTGAGTTCTGTTCCAAATGAAGTGAACCCTTCAATTGCTTGAAGGAAACAGGGTCTTTTAGACTGGACGTACGAAAGAGTCTTGAATTGACCTTTTTTGTTTCCGTGGTTAGTGGGTGTCACTACGCCTAAATTGTTAAGCAGAATCTAGTCAAGAAGCTGATGGATGTCTCTCCATGTCACCTTCCTTTCCTATCCATTTTTCTCCTGGTGAGAGGTGCTGTCACTCTGTATGCGAAAGAAAGATTGGTTTATGCCCTAAGTTTTTCCGCCCATAAGGTATAGATGATGAAAGCAAACAGGTAAAGATGTTGATCTCCCATCTGAAGAGAGATGGTGAAGCTTGACAGGGTTTTGGTAGGAGCATGTACTAGACACAATTTGGTGTTCCACTGAATGTACTTAGGGGCATTTGCTCTCACAACTCGGAACGTCTATTTCAGCCGTTGGAGGGATCCATATAGACAGACATCATTGTAGGCCGATTTAAATGGTGCAGAACACCCTGACAGGAGGGCGACATCTTCAAAGTGGAAGAGGTCCGATTGGGGGCGGTGACAGAAAGGTTTTCCAGAATCCAACCCATTGATTTTACAGTAAGTGAAGTCTTGATGTCACCGTGGAAAGGGCAGACCTTGTATGGTGGAAATGGAAATGTCATGTTAAGTTCCAAGCCCGGCAGTAGCAAACTACATGTAGTTCGTGTGAACAGTCGACAGGTGCATAACTTGAGGGCCATGCCAATATAGGGAAGGTATGGGAGGGTCTTCATTTGTTCTTCTAGTCGGGTCAAGTGGGTTGGATATGATGTGCCATACTGCGTCTTTCTGTTGCTGGATTTTTTTTTTTGGTACCAAAGTTACCAAACCATCACATCTGTCATAATCCTACAATAAACAATCAAACAAAAAACATACATTCTGGATAACTTTGAAAGACTTTGAACATCCGGCTGGTTGTTTCCAAATGCAAAACAGATGAACTCCAAGAGAGTTCTATGGTTTTGACTTGATCGGAGGCCACAAAGCCAATGGAGTTGAAGCCGGAGGAGAGTTCGGTCATGATCTGTTGGGTGATGACTGTTGATCCGATAGCAGCTAGCGCAGCTAGACACACGTTTTATCACGTTTTGTTTCTTTTCCAAATTGTCTGGGGGCAACATTCGTGCACCCCATTCCTGCGGACAACAATGGCAACACATGTCAACACCATTCACATTTACATGCTGACTATTCTTGACTTTAAATCGTGAGTTCACATCCATATCACACATCGTTGGGTCGTGAGTTCTGTTCCAAATGAAGTGAACCCTTCAATTGCTTGAAGGAAACAGGGTCTTTTAGACTGGACGTCCGAAAGAGTCTTGAATTGACCTTTTTTGTTTCCGTGGTTAGTGGGTGTCACTACGCCTAAATTGTTAAGCAGAATCTAGTCAAGAAGCTGATGGATGTCTCTCCATGTCACCTTCCTTTCCTATCCATTTTTCTCCTGGTGAGAGGTGCTTTCACTCTGTATGCCAAAGAAGCCTCGTTTATGCCATAAGTTGGTATAGATGATGAAAGCAAACAGGTAAAGATGTTGATCTCTCGTCTCCCAATAAGAAAGATGATGAAGCTCTGTCTATTTCATCCGTTGGAGGGATCCATATAGACAGACATCATTGTAGGCCGATTTAAATGGTGCAGAATACCCTGACAGGAGGGCGACATCTTCAAAGTGGAAGAGGTCCGATTGGGGGCGGTGACAGAAAGGTTTTCCAGAATCCAACCCATTGATTTTACAGTAAGTGAAGTCTTGATGTCACCGTGGAAAGGGCAGACCTTGTATGGTGGAAATGGATATGTCATGTTAAGTTCCAAGCCCGGCAGTAGCAAACTACATGTAGTTCGTGTGAACAGTCGACAGGTGCATAACTTGAGGGCCATGCCAATATAGGGAAGGTATGGGAGGGTCTTCATTTGTTCTTCTAGTCGGGTCAAGTGGGTTGGATATGATGTGCCATACTGCGCCTTTCTGTTGCTGGATTTTTTTTTTTTGGCACCAAAGTTACCAAACCATCTCATCTGTCATAATCCTACAATAAACAATCAAACAAAAAACATACATTCTGGATAATTTTGAACGACTTTGAACATCCGGCTGGTTGTTTCCAAATGCAAAACAGATGAACTCCAAGAGAGTTCTATGGTTTTGACTTGATCGGAGGCCACAAAGCCAATGGAGTTGAAGCCGGAGGAGAGTTCGGTCATGATCTGTTGGGTGATGACTGTTGATCCGATAGCAGCTAGCGCAGTTAGACACGTTCTGTTTCTTTCCCAAATTTGCTTGGGGCAACATTCGTGCACCCCATTCCTGCGGACAACAATGTCAACACATGTCAACACCATTCACATTTACATGCTGACTATTCTTGACTTTAAATCGTGAGTTCACATCCATATCACACATCGTTGGGTCGTGAGTTCTGTTCCAAATGAAGTGAACCCTTCAATTGCTTGAAGGAAACAGGGTCTTTTAGACTGGACGTACGAAAGAGTCTTGAATTGACCTTTTTTGTTTCCGTGGTTAGTGGGTGTCACTACGCCTAAATTGTTAAGCAGAATCTAGTCAAGAAGCTGATGGATGTCTCTCCATGTCACCTTCCTTTCCTATCCATTTTTCTCCTGGTGAGAGGTGCTGTCACTCTGTATGCGAAAGAAAGATTGGTTTATGCCCTAAGTTTTTCCGCCCATAAGGTATAGATGATGAAAGCAAACAGGTAAAGATGTTGATCTCCCATCTGAAGAGAGATGGTGAAGCTTGACAGGGTTTTGGTAGGAGCATGTACTAGACACAATTTGGTGTTCCACTGAATGTACTTAGGGGCATTTGCTCTCACAACTCGGAACGTCTATTTCAGCCGTTGGAGGGATCCATATAGACAGACATCATTGTAGGCCGATTTAAATGGTGCAGAACACCCTGACAGGAGGGCGACATCTTCAAAGTGGAAGAGGTCCGATTGGGGGCGGTGACAGAAAGGTTCGCCACATTCCAACCCATTGATTTTACAGTAAGTGAAGTCTTGATGTCACCGTGGAAAGGGCAGACCTTGTATGGTGGAAATGGAAATGTCATGTTAAGTTCCAAGCCCGGCAGTAGCAAACTACATGTAGTTCGTGTGAAGAGTCGACAGGTGCATAACTTGAGGGTCATGCCAATATAGGGAAGGTATGGGAGGGTCTTTATTTGTTCTTCTAGTCGGGTCAAGTGGGTTGGATATGATGTGCCATACTGCGTCTTTCTGTTGCTGGATTTTTGTTTTTTTGGTACCAAAGTTACCAAACCATCACATCTGTCATAATCCTACAATAAACATTCAAACAAAAAACATACATTCTGGATAACTTTGAAAGACTTTGAACATCCGGCTGGTTGTTTCCAAATGCAAAACAGATGAACTCCAAGAGAGTTCTATGGTTTTGACTTGATCGGAGGCCACAAAGCCAATGGAGTTGAAGCCGGAGGAGAGTTCGGTCATGATCTGTTGGGTGATGACTGTTGATCCGATAGCAGCTAGCGCAGTTAGACACACGTTTTATCACGTTTTGTTTCTTTCCCAAATTTGCTGGGGGCAACATTCGTGCACCCCATTCCTGCGGACAACAATGGCAACACATGTCAACACCATTCACATTTACATGCTGACTATTCTTGACTTTAAATCGTGAGTTCACATCCATATCACACATCGTTGGGTCGTGAGTTCTGTTCCAAATGAAGTGAACCCTTCAATTGCTCGAAGGAAACAGGGTCTTTTAGACTGGACGTCCGAAAGAGTCTTGAATTGACCTTTTTTGTTTCTGTGGTTAGTGGGTGTCACTACGCCTAAATTGTTATATAAGCAGAATCTAGTCAAGAAGCTGGTGGATGTCTCTCCATGTCACCTTCCTTTCCTATCCATTTTTCTCCTGGTGAGAGGTGCTTTCACTCTGTATGCCAAAGAAAGCCTCGTTTATGCCCTAAGTTGGTATAGATGATGAAAGCAAACAGGTAAAGATGTTGATCTCTCGTCTCCCAATAAGAAAGATGATGAAGCTCTGTCTATTTCATCCGTTGGAGGGATCCATATAGACAGACATCATTGTAGGCCGATTTAAATGGTGCAGAATACCCTGACAGGAGGGCGACATCTTCAAAGTGGAAGAGGTCCGATGGGGGCGGTGACAGCCAGGTTTGCCAGATTCCAACCCATTGATCTTACAGTGAGTGAAGTCTTGATGTCACTGTGGAAAGGGCAGACCTTGTATGGTCGAAATGGAAATGTCATGTCAAGTTCCAAGCCCGGCAGTAGCAAGCTACATGTATCATCATGTATCTACATGTCATGTAGTTCGTGTGAACAGTCGGCAGGTGCATAACTTGAGGGCCATGCCAATATAGGAAGGGTATGGGAGGGTCTTCATTTGTTCTTCTAGTTGGGTCAAGTGGGTTGGATATGATGTGCCATACTGCGCCTTTCCGTTGCTGGATTTTTGTTTTTTTTGGTACCAAAGTTACCAAACCATCTCATTTGTCATAATCCTGCAATAAACATCCCCGTTGAAGTTTCCATTACTAGGCCTTGGGGCCTGTACAAAACGCATATCCCAGGCAAATTGTTTCTGACCCATGGTGTTGGGCACAGCTATTTGTAGCAAAAGGTGTCCTTGTTGACCTTGGTGTTAAATCCCACCTTCTTTTTGTAGAAGGATGAGTCTCTTTTAGCCAACCCAACAAGAGCAGTGACCAAGGGGGATCAAGGGGGTTGGATAAGAACATCAGGTGCTTTTTGTTGATGCTGAATCTGGGTTGGTATTGCTTTATGTAGAGCTTCAACTGAGGTTGTGCAGTTCTTTTTATAGGTCACCTAGATTGTGAATCCTGGAATGTACCTACAAATTGTGTTCACGACCAAGAGTGGTTTTAACGGGGATTAATAAACATCAATCAAAAAACATACATCCTGGATAACTTTGAAAGACTTTGAACATCCGACTGGTTGTTTCCAAATGCAAAACAGATGAACTCCAAGAGAGTTCTATGGTTTTGACTTGATCGGAGGCCACAAAGCCAATGGAGTTGAAGCCGGAGGAGAGTTCGGTCATGATCTGTTGGGTGATGCCTGTTGATCCGATAGCAGCTAGCGCAGTTAGACACACGTTTTATCACGTTTTGTTTCTTTCCCAAATTTGCTGGGGGCAACATTTGTGCACCACATTCCTGCGCACAACAACGTCCACACCATTCACATACCGTTGGTTCATAGATGCTGTTCTAAATGGAGTGAACCCTTCAATTGCCCAACATGGACTGGGCCTGCTCCTCTTGTGTTTAAGAATATTACCTGATATGTTATTTGCATAGTTCCAAGGAAACATGGTCTTTTAGACTGGAAGTCTCAAAGAGTCTTGATTTGGCATGGATGGATTTTTGTATTTAGTTGGTGTCACTACGCCTAAATTCTTAAGCAGAATCTCGTCAAGAAGCTGGTGGATGTCTCTCCATGTCACCTTCCTTTCCTATCCATTATTCTCCTGGTGAGAGGTGCTGTCACTCTGTATGCCAAAGAAAGCCTCGTTTATACCCTAAGTTTTTCCGCCCGTAGGGTAAAGATGATGAAAGCAAACAGGTAAAGATGTTGATCTCTCGTCTCCCAATAAGATAATAAGCAAGATGACGAAGCTTGGTCTATTTCAGCCGTTGGAGGGATCTGTACAGACATCATTGTATGCCGATTTAAATGGTGCAGAATACCCTGACAGGAGGGCGACATCTTCAAAGTGGAAGAGGTCCGATGGGGGCGGTGACAGCCAGGTTTGCCAGATTCCAACCCATTGATCTTACAGTAAGTGAAGTCTTGATGTCACTGTGGAAAGGGCAGACCTTGTATGGGTTCCAAGCCCGGCAGTAGCACACTACATGTAACTACATGTCATGTAGTTCGTGTGAACAGTCGGCAGGTGCCATACTGCGTCTTTCTGTTGCTGGATTTTGGTTTTTTGGCACCAAGGTTACCAAAACATCTCATCAGTCATAATCCTGCAATAAACATCAATCAACAAACATACATTCTGGATAGCTTTGAAAGACTTTGAACATCCCACTGGTTGTTTCCAAATGCAAAACAGATGAACTCCAAGAGAGTTCTATGGTTTTGACTTGATCGGAGGCCACAAAGCCAATGGAGTTGAAGCCGGAGGAGAGTTCGGTCATGATCTGTTGGGTGATGCCTGTTGATCCGATAGCAGCTAGCGCAGTTAGACACACGTTTTATCACGTTTTGTTTCTTTCCCAAATTTGCTGGGGCAACATTTGTGCACCACCTTCCTGCGCACAACAACGTCCACACCATTCACATACCGTTGGTTCATAGATGCTGTTCTAAATGGAGTGAACCCTTCAATTGCCCAACATGGACTGGGCCTGCTCCTCTTGTGTTTAAGAATATTACCTGATATGTTCTTTGCATAGTTCCAAGGAAACATGGTCTTTTAGACTGGAAGTCTCAAAGAGTCTTGATTTGGCATGGATGGATTTTTGTAGTTAGTTGGTGTCACTACGCCTAAATTCTTAAGCAGAATCTCGTCAAGAAGCTGGTGGATGTCACTCCATGTCACCTTCCTGTCCTATCCATTTTTCTCCTGGTGAGAGGTGCTGTCACTCTGTATGCCAAAGAAAGCCTCGTTTATGCCATAAGTTGGTATAGATGATGAAAGCAAACAGGTAAAGATGTTGATCTCTCGTCTCCCAATAAGATAATAAGCAAGATGACGAAGCTTGGTCTATTTCAGCCGTTGGAGGGATCTGTGCAGACATCATTGTATGCCGATTTAAATGGTGCAGAATACCCTGACAGGAGGGCGACATCTTCAAAGTGGAAGAGGTCCGATGGGGGGGGGGTGAGAGCCAGGTTTGCCAGAATCCAACCCATTGATTTTACAGTAAGTGAAGTCTTGATGTCACCGTGGAAAGGGCAGACCTTGTATGGTCGAAATGGAAATGTCATGTCAAGTTCCAAGCCCGGCAGTAGCAAACTACATGTAGTTCGTGTGAAGAGTCGACAGGTGCATAACTTGAGGGCCATGCCAATATAGGGAAGGTATGGGAGGATCTTCATTTGTTCTTCTAGTCGGGTCAAGTGGGTTGGATATGATGTGCCATACTGCGTCTTTCTGTTGCTGGATTGTTGTTTTTTTTGGCACCAAAGTTACCAAACCATCACATCTGTCATAATCCTACAATAAACAAACAAACAAAAAACATACATTCTGGATAATTTTGAACGACTTTGAACATCCCACTGGTTGTTTCCAAATGCAAAACAGATGAACTCCAAGAGAGTTCTATGGTTTTGACTTGATCGGAGGCCACAAAGCCAATGGAGTTGAAGCCGGAGGAGAGTTCGGTCATGATCTGTTGGGTGATGACTGTTGATCCGATAGCAGCTAGCGCAGTTAGACACACGTTTTATCACGTTTTGTTTCTTTCCCAAATTTGCTGGGGGCAACATTTGTGCACCACATTCCTGCGCACAACAACGTCCACACCATTCACATACCGTTGGTTCATAGATGCTGTTCTAAATGGAGTGAACCCTTCAATTGCCCAACATGGACTGGGCCTGCTCCTCGTGTGTTTAAGAATATTACCTGATATGTTATTTGCATAGTTCCAAGGAAACATGGTCTTTGAGACTGGAAGTCTCAAAGAGTCTTGATTTGGCATGGATGGATTTTTGTATTTAGTTGGTGTCACTACGCCTAAATTCTTAAGCAGAATCTCGTCAAGAAGCTGGTGGATGTCACTCCATGTCACCTTCCTGTCCTATCCATTTTTCTCCTGGTGAGAGGTGCTGTCACTCCGTCGTTAGTGGATGTCACTACTCCCACGCCCCACAACCCACCATATGTCTAGATTGTTAAGCAGAATCTAGTCAAGAAACTGATGGATGTCACTCCATGTAACCTTCCTTTCCTATCCATTTTTCTCCTGGTGAGAGGTGCTGTCACTCTGTATGCCAAAGAAAGCCTGGTTTATGCCTTAAGTTAAGGTATAGACGATGAAAGCAAAAAGGTAAAGATGTTGATCTCTCGTCTCCCAATAAGAAAGATGATGAAGCTTGGTCTATTTCATCCGTTGGAGGGATCCGTATAGACATCATTGTAGGCCGATTTAAGTGGTGCAGAATACCCTGACAGGAGGGCGACATCTTTAAAGTGGAAGAGGTCCGATTGGGGGCGGTGACAGAAGGGTTTGCCAGAATCCAACCCATTGATTTTACAGTAAGTGAAGTCTTGATGTCACCGTGGAAAGGGCAGACCTTGTATGGTGGAAATGGACATGTCATGTTAAGTTCCAAGCCCGGCAGTGGCAAACTACATGTAGTTCGTGTGAACAGTCGACAGGTGCATAACTTGAGGGCCATGCCAATATAGGGAAGGTATGGGAGGGTCTTTATATTTGTTCTTCTAGGTCGGGTCAAGTGGGTTGGATATAAATGTGCCATACTGCGTCTTTCTGGTCTGTGCTGGTATTGTGTTGTTTTTTTTTTGGCAACCAAGTTTACCAAAACCATCACATCTTTCATAATCCTATCAAATAAAACACATCAACAAAAACAATCCATTCTGGATACCTTTGAAAGACTTTGAACATCCACTGGTTGTTTCCAAATGCAAAAACAGATGAACTCCAGAGAGTTCTAATGGTTTTGACTTGATCTGCGGAGGCCACAAAGCCAATGGATTTTGAAGCCGATAGAGGTTTCGTTCATTTATCTGTTGGGTGATGAACTGTTGATCCGATAGCAGCTTAGCGCATTAGACATCACTTTTTAAATCAGCGTTCTGTTTCTTTCCAAAATTTGCTTGGGGCAACATTCGTGCACCCCATTCCTGCGGACAACAATGTCAACACATGTCAACACCATTCACATTTACATGCTGACTATTCTTGACTTTAAATCGTGAGTTCACATCCATATCACACATCGTTGGGTCGTGAGTTCTGTTCCAAATGAAGTGAACCCTTCAATTGCTTGAAGGAAACAGGGTCTTTTAGACTGGACGTACGAAAGAGTCTTGAATTGACCTTTTTTGTTTCCGTGGTTAGTGGGTGTCACTACGCCTAAATTGTTAAGCAGAATCTAGTCAAGAAGCTGATGGATGTCTCTCCATGTCACCTTCCTTTCCTATCCATTTTTCTCCTGGTGAGAGGTGCTGTCACTCTGTATGCGAAAGAAAGATTGGTTTATGCCCTAAGTTTTTCCGCCCATAAGGTATAGATGATGAAAGCAAACAGGTAAAGATGTTGATCTCCCATCTGAAGAGAGATGGTGAAGCTTGACAGGGTTTTGGTAGGAGCATGTACTAGACACAATTTGGTGTTCCACTGAATGTACTTAGGGGCATTTGCTCTCACAACTCGGAACGTCTATTTCAGCCGTTGGAGGGATCCATATAGACAGACATCATTGTAGGCCGATTTAAATGGTGCAGAACACCCTGACAGGAGGGCGACATCTTCAAAGTGGAAGAGGTCCGATTGGGGGCGGTGACAGAAAGGTTTTCCAGAATCCAACCCATTGATTTTACAGTAAGTGAAGTCTTGATGTCACCGTGGAAAGGGCAGACCTTGTATGGTGGAAATGGAAATGTCATGTTAAGTTCCAAGCCCGGCAGTAGCAAACTACATGTAGTTCGTGTGAAGAGTCGACAGGTGCATAACTTGAGGGCCATGCCTATATAGGGAAGGTATGGGAGGGTCTTTATTTGTTCTTCTAGTCGGGTCAAGTGGGTTGGATATGATGTGCCATACTGCGTCTTTCTGTTGCTGGATTGTTGTTTTTTTGGCACCAAAGTTACCAAACCATCACATCTGTCATAATCCTACAATAAACAATCAAACAAAAAACATACATTCTGGATAACTTTGAAAGACTTTGAACATCCCACTGGTTGTTTCCAAATGCAAAACAGATGAACTCCAAGAGAGTTCTATGGTTTTGACTTGATCGGAGGCCACAAAGCCAATGGAGTTGAAGCCGGAGGAGAGTTCGGTCATGATCTGTTGGGTGATGACTGTTGATCCGATAGCAGCTAGCGCAGTTAGACACACGTTTTATCACGTTTTGTTTCTTTCCCAAATTTGCTGGGGGCAACATTCGTGCACCCCATTCCTGCGGACAACAATGTCAACACATGTCAACACCATTCACATTTACATGCTGACTATTCTTGACTTTAAATCGTGAGTTCACATCCATATCACACATCGTTGGGTCGTGAGTTCTGTTCCAAATGAAGTGAACCCTTCAATTGCTCGAAGGAAACAGGGTCTTTTAGACTGGACGTCCGAAAGAGTCTTGAATTGACCTTTTTTGTTTCTGTGGTTAGTGGGTGTCACTACGCCTAAATTGTTATATAAGCAGAATCTAGTCAAGAAGCTGGTGGATGTCTCTCCATGTCACCTTCCTTTCCTATCCATTTTTCTCCTGGTGAGAGGTGCTTTCACTCTGTATGCCAAAGAAAGCCTCGTTTATGCCCTAAGTTGGTATAGATGATGAAAGCAAACAGGTAAAGATGTTGATCTCTCGTCTCCCAATAAGAAAGATGATGAAGCTCTGTCTATTTCATCCGTTGGAGGGATCCATATAGACAGACATCATTGTAGGCCGATTTAAATGGTGCAGAATACCCTGACAGGAGGGCGACATCTTCAAAGTGGAAGAGGTCCGATGGGGGCGGTGACAGCCAGGTTTGCCAGATTCCAACCCATTGATCTTACAGTGAGTGAAGTCTTGATGTCACTGTGGAAAGGGCAGACCTTGTATGGTCGAAATGGAAATGTCATGTCAAGTTCCAAGCCCGGCAGTAGCAAGCTACATGTATCATCATGTATCTACATGTCATGTAGTTCGTGTGAACAGTCGGCAGGTGCATAACTTGAGGGCCATGCCAATATAGGAAGGGTATGGGAGGGTCTTCATTTGTTCTTCTAGTTGGGTCAAGTGGGTTGGATATGATGTGCCATACTGCGCCTTTCCGTTGCTGGATTTTTGTTTTTTTTGGTACCAAAGTTACCAAACCATCTCATTTGTCATAATCCTGCAATAAACATCCCCGTTGAAGTTTCCATTACTAGGCCTTGGGGCCTGTACAAAACGCATATCCCAGGCAAATTGTTTCTGACCCATGGTGTTGGGCACAGCTATTTGTAGCAAAAGGTGTCCTTGTTGACCTTGGTGTTAAATCCCACCTTCTTTTTGTAGAAGGACGAGTCTCTTTTAGCCAACCCAACAAGAGCAGTGACCAAGGGGGATCAAGGGGGTTGGATAAGAACATCAGGTGCTTTTTGTTGATGCTGAATCTGGGTTGGTATTGCTTTATGTAGAGCTTCAACTGAGGTTGTGCAGTTCTTTTTATAGGTCACCTAGATTGTGAATCCTGGAATGTACCTACAAATTGTGTTCACGACCAAGAGTGGTTTTAACGGGGATTAATAAACATCAATCAAAAAACATACATCCTGGATAACTTTGAAAGACTTTGAACATCCGACTGGTTGTTTCCAAATGCAAAACAGATGAACTCCAAGAGAGTTCTATGGTTTTGACTTGATCGGAGGCCACAAAGCCAATGGAGTTGAAGCCGGAGGAGAGTTCGGTCATGATCTGTTGGGTGATGCCTGTTGATCCGATAGCAGCTAGCGCAGTTAGACACACGTTTTATCACGTTTTGTTTCTTTCCCAAATTTGCTGGGGGCAACATTTGTGCACCACATTCCTGCGCACAACAACGTCCACACCATTCACATACCGTTGGTTCATAGATGCTGTTCTAAATGGAGTGAACCCTTCAATTGCCCAACATGGACTGGGCCTGCTCCTCTTGTGTTTAAGAATATTACCTGATATGTTATTTGCATAGTTCCAAGGAAACATGGTCTTTTAGACTGGAAGTCTCAAAGAGTCTTGATTTGGCATGGATGGATTTTTGTAGTTAGTTGGTGTCACTGTGCCTAAATTCTTAAGCAGAATCTCGTCAAGAAGCTGGTGGATGTCTCTCCATGTCACCTTCCTTTCCTATCCATTATTCTCCTGGTGAGAGGTGCTGTCACTCTGTATGCCAAAGAAAGCCTCGTTTATACCCTAAGTTTTTCCGCCCATAGGGTATAGATGATGAAAGCAAACAGGTAAAGATGTTGATCTCTCGTCTCCCAATAAGAAAGATGATGAAGCTTGGTCTATTTCATCCGTTGGAGGGATCTGTACAGACATCATTGTAGGCCGATTTCAATGGTGCAGAATACCCTGACAGGAGGGCGACATCTTCAAAGTGGAAGAGGTCCGATGGGGGGGGGTGACAGCCAGGTTTGCCAGAATCCAACCCATTGATCTTAGTTGAAGTGAAGTCTTGATGTCACTGTGGAAAGGGCAGACCTTGTATGGTCGAAATGGAAATGTCATGTCAAGTTCGAAGCCCGGCAGTAGCAAACTACATGTAGTTCGTGTGAAGAGTCGACAGGTGCATAACTTGAGGGCCATGCCAATATAGGGAAGGTATGGGAGGATCTTCATTTGTTCTTCTAGTCGGGTCAAGTGGGTTGGATATGATGTGCCATACTGCGTCTTTCTGTTGCTGGATTATTGTTTTTTTGGCACCAAAGTTACCAAACCATCACATCTGTCATAATCCTACAATAAACAATCAAACAAAAAACATACATTCTGGATAACTTTGAAAGACTTTGAACATCCCACTGGTTGTTTCCAAATGCAAAACAGATGAACTCCAAGAGAGTTCTATGGTTTTGACTTGATCGGAGGCCACAAAGCCAATGGAGTTGAAGCCGGAGGAGAGTTCGGTCATGATCTGTTGGGTGATGACTGTTGATCCGATAGCAGCTAGCGCAGTTAGACACACGTTTTATCACGTTTTGTTTCTTTCCCAAATTTGCTGGGGGCAACATTTGAGCACCACATTCCTGCGCACAACAACGTCCACACCATTCACATACCGTTGGTTCATAGATGCTGTTCTAAATGGAGTGAACCCTTCAATTGCCCAACATGGACTGGGCCTGCTCCTCGTGTGTTTAAGAATATTACCTGATATGTTATTTGCATAGTTCCAAGGAAACATGGTCTTTTAGACTGGAAGTCTCAAAGAGTCTTGATTTGGCATGGATGGATTTTTGTATTTAGTTGGTGTCACTACGCCTAAATTCTTAAGCAGAATCTCGTCAAGAAGCTGGTGGATGTCACTCCATGTCACCTTCCTGTCCTATCCATTTTTCTCCTGGTGAGAGGTGCTGTCACTCCGTCGTTAGTGGATGTCACTACTCCCACACCCCACAACCCACCATATGTCTAGATTGTTAAGCAGAATCTAGTCAAGAAACTGATGGATGTCACTCCATGTAACCTTCCTTTCCTATCCATTTTTCTCCTGGTGAGAGGTGCTGTCACTCTGTATGCCAAAGAAAGCCTGGTTCATGCCTTAAGTTAAGGTATAGACGATGAAAGCAAAAAGGTAAAGATGTTGATCTCTCGTCTCCCAATAAGAAAGATGATGAAGCTTGGTCTATTTCATCCGTTGGAGGGATCCGTATAGACATCATTGTAGGCCGATTTAAATGGTGCAGAACACCCTGACAGGAGGGCGACATCTTCAAAGTGGAAGAGGTCCGATTGGGGGCGGTGACAGGCAGGTTTGCCAGATTCCAACCCATTGATCTTACAGTAAGTGAAGTCTTGATGTCACTGTGGAAAGGGCAGACCTTGTATGGTCGAAATGGAAATGTCATGTTAAGTTCCAAGCCCGGCAGTAGTACATGTCATGTAGTTCGTGTGAACAGTCGACAGGTGCATAACTTGAGGGCCATGCCAATATACGGAAGGTATGGGAGGGTCTTCATTTGTTCTTCTAGTCGGGTCAAGTGGGTTGGATATGATGTGCCATACTGCGCCTTTCTGTTGCTGGATTTTTGTATTTTTGGCACCAAAGTTACCAAACCATCACATCTGTCATAATCCTGCAATAAACATCAATCAAAAAACATACATTCTGCATAACTTTGAAAGACTTTGAACATCCCACTGGTTGTTTCCAAATGCAAAACAGATGAACTCCAAGAGAGTTCTATGGTTTTGACTTGATCGGAGGCCACCAAGCCAATGGAGTTGAAGCCGGAGGAGAGTTCGGTCATGATCTGTTGGGTGATGACTGTTGATCCGATAGCAGCTAGCGCAGTTAGAAACACGTTTTATCACGTTTTGTTTCTTTCCAAATTGGCTCGGGGCAACATTTGTGCACCGCATTCCTGCGGACAACAATGTCAACACCATTCACATTTACATGCTGACTATTCTTGACTTTAAATCGTGAGTTCACATCCATATCACACACCGTTGGGTCATGAGTTCTGTTCCAAATGAAGTGAACCCTTTAATTGCTCAGCATGGACTGGGCCTGCTGCTTGTGCTTAAGATGCGCACGTTATTTGCATTTATTTTCACAGTTGGAAGGAAACAGGATCTTTTAGACTGGACGTCCGAAAGAGTCTTGAATTGGCATTTTTGGTTTTCGTGGTTAGAGGGTGTCACTACGCCCCCAGCCCACAGCCCAGCATATGTCCAGATTGTTAAGCAGAATCTAGTCAAGAAGCGCTGGTGGATGTCACTCCATGTCACCTTCCTTTCCTATCCATTTTTCTCCTGGTGAGAGGTGCTGTCACTCTGTATGCGAAAGAAAGCTTGGTTTATGCCCTAAGATTTTACTTCCGTAGGTTATACATGTTGAGAGCAAACAAAGATGTTGATCTCCCATCTTAAGAGAGATGGTGAACCTTGACAGCGCTGGATAGAAGCATGTACTAGACACAATTTGGTGTTCCACTCAATGTACTTAGCGGCATTTGCTTTCACAACTCGGAACGTCTATTTCATCCGTTGGAGGGATCCGTATAGACATCATTGTAGGCCGATTTGAATGGTGCAGAACACCCTGACAGGAGGGCGACATCTTCAAAGTGGAAGAGGTCCGATGGGGGCGGTGACAGGCAGGTTTGCCAGATTCCAACCCATTGATCTTACAGTAAGTGAAGTCTTGATGTCACTGTGGAAAGGGCAGACCTTGTATGGTCGAAATGGAAATGTCATGTTAAGTTCCAAGCCCGGCAGTAGCAAACTACATGTATCATCATGTATCTACATGTCATGTAGTTCGTGTGAACAGTCGACAGGTGCATAACTTGAGGGCCATGCCAACATAGGAAGGGTATGGGAGGGTCTTTATTTGTTGTTCTAGTCGGGTCAAGTGGGTTGGATATGATGTGCCATACTGCGCCTTTCTGTTGCTGGATTTTTGTTTTTGTGGCACCAAAGTTACCAAACCATCTCATTTGTCATAATCCTGCAATAATCATCAAACAAAAAACATACATTCTGGATAACTTTGAAAGACTTTGAACATCCCACTGGTTGTTTTTTTGGCATGCGGCTGATACGCCGCCCTTGGAAGGGTTATTAACTTTGAGATATGCCATTTACGATCCCTTGGAAGGGTTGTTTTTTTTTAGAAATCAAGGTTTCCGAAATGGGGGTACAGGATTTGATTTTCGGCGTTGTTAACATGTTGCATATGCTGTTGAGTAGTGCACTTACGTTACAGAACATGTTGCCGTTGTTAAGATGGAGACGAATGTCCATGCTCCACAAGAAAACCAGAAAGTGTACGAAAAAGGGACACTTGGGCTTACAGCTGGACATGCGTTATAATGTCGCCTTGTTGCAGTCTGTGGCCGCTGCGTTGCCAAAAGCACTCTGGCACTGAAACTTCGAGAAGAGAAAAAACTGGATGGCTGGATGTTTTCCTGAGATGATTGAGATGATTGAAAATCATAAACTTCATGAAATTTCTCATGTTTTTTTATTGAAGAGCAAAATCGTTTCACTGCGCAGCCGAAACGCAAATTTTTACGCTTGAGTCACACGCATGCCAATCGAAATGAATATCCATATTGCAGACATGCTTTGACAAGTCCCACAAATATTAACATTTTGTCCCTTAGCCTCAAAAAACATAATTTCAAATTCGTCGCCTTTACAAGGGCGGCGAGTCAACCGGTTGCCTTGTTTCCAAATGCAAAACAGAAGAACTGCAAGAGAGTTCTATGGTTTTGACTTGATCGGAGGCCACAAAGCCAATGGAGTTGAAGCCGGAGGAGTGTTCGGTCATGATTTGTTGGGTGATGACTGTTGGTCCGATAGCAACTATCACAGTTAGACACGTATTGTTTCTTTCCCAAATTGGCTTGGGGCAACATTTGTGCACCCCATTCCTGCGCACAACAACGTCAACACCATTCACATACCGTTGGTTCATAGGTGCTGTTCTAAATAAAGTGAACCCTTCAATCGCTCGACATGGACTGGGCCTGCTTCTCGTGTGTTCAAGAATATTACTTGATATGTTTTTTGCACAGTTCCAAGGAAACATGGTCTTTTAGGCTGGAAGTCTGGAAGTCTCAAAGGGTCTTGATTTGGATGGATCTTTGTATAGTTAGTGGATGTCACTACGCCTAAATTGCTAAGCAGAATCTAGTCAAGAAGCTGATGGATGTCACTCCTTGTCAAAAAACCTTGGTTTATGCCCTAAGTTTTTCCGTCCGTAGGGTATAGATGATGAAAGCAAACAGGTAAAGATGTTGATCTCTCATCTCCCAATAAGAAGATGGTGAAATTTGGTCTATTTCAGCCGTTGGAGGGATCCGTATAGACATCATTGTAGGCCGAATTAAATGGTGCACAATAACCTGACAGGAGGGCGACATCTTCAAAGTGGAAGAGGTCCGATGGGGGCGGTGACAGCCAGGTTTGCCAGAATCCAACCCGTTGATCTTACAGTAAGTGAAGTCTTGATGTCACTGTGGAAAGGGCAGACCTTGTATGGTCGAAATGGAAATGTCATGTTAAGTTCCAAGCCCGGCAGTAGCAAACTACATGTATCATCATGTATCTACATGTCATGTAGTTCGTGTGAACAGTCGACAGGTGCATAACTTGAGGGCCATGCCAACATAGGAAGGGTATGGGAGGGTCTTTATTTGTTGTTCTAGTCGGGTCAAGTGGGTTGGATATGATGTGCCATACTGCGCCTTTCTGTTGCTGGATTTTTGTTTTTGTGGCACCAAAGTTACCAAACCATCTCATTTATCAAAATCTTGCAATCAACAATCAAAAACAATATGCAGCCCACGAACCCGAATGCTCACACGTATGTTAGTGGTACAGATGTCGAAACACATGGATATACAGTCACGTAGAACACTTTTGTGCAACAATTTAGTTGAACAGTCTTGTATATTTATCCCCTGTTACCATACCAGTGCACCGTAGACTGTGAAATATGGAAGAAGGTGGCGTGCTAAGTGTGGAGTGTGGGGTGCAAAGTGTCAACTGCAAAGCCCGGAGTGTAAAGTGTTGAGTGTAAAGTGTAAAGTGCGCAGTGTGAAGTGTAGAGTGTAAAGTGTCAGGTGTAAAGCGCAGAGTGTAAAGTGTGGAGTGTAAAGTGTAAAGTTTGGAGTGTAGAGTGTGGAGTGTAGAGTGTGGAGTGTGGAGTGTAAAGTGTGGAGTGTTGAGGAGTGTAAAGTGTAGAGTGTGGAGTGTAAAGTGTGGAGTGTGGACTGTAAAGTGTGGAGTGCAGTGTGGAGTGTAAAGTGTGGAGTGTAAAGTGTGGAGTATTGAGTGTAAAGTTTAAAGTGTGGAGTGTAAAGTGTAGAGTGTGGAGTCTGAAGTGTCAAGTGTAAAGTGTGGAGTGTATAGTGTAGAGTGTGGGGTCTGAAGTGTAAAGTGTGGACTGTGAAGTGTGGAGTGTAAAGTGTGGAGTGTAAAGTGTAGAGTGTGGAGTGTAAAGTGTGGAGTGTAAAGTGTAAAGTGTGGAGTGTAAAGTGTGGAGTGTAAAGTGTGGAGTGTAAAGTGTAAAGTGCGAAGTGGGGAGTGTCGTGTGTAGAGTGTGGAGTGTAGAGTGTGGAGTGTAAAGTGTCAAGTGTAAAGTGTGGCAGTGTGGAAGTGTGGAGTGTGAAGCGTAAAGTGTGAATGTAGAGTGTGGACTGTGGAGTGTAGAGTGTAGAGTGTAGAGTGTAAAGTGTAGAGTGTGGAGTGTAAAGTGTGGAGTGTAAAGTGTGGAGTGTAGAGTGTGGAGTGTGGAGTGTAGAGTGTGGAATGTAAAGTGTCAAGTGTAAAGCGTGGAAGTGTGGAGTGTAAAGTGTAGAGTGTGGAGTGTAAAGTGTGGAGTGTAAAGTGTGGAGTGTAAAGTGTAAAGTGCGAAGTGGGGAGTGTCGTGTGTAGAGTGTGGAGTGTAGAGTGTGGAGTGTAAAGTGTCAAGTGTAAAGTGTGGAAGTGTGGAAGTGTGGAGTGTGAAGCGTAAAGTGTGAATGTAGAGTGTGGACTGTGGAGTGTAGAGTGTAGAGTGTAAAGTGTAGAGTGTGGAGTGTAAAGTGTGGAGTGTAAAGTGTGGAGTGTAGAGTGTGGAGTGTGGAGTGTAGAGTGTGGAGTCTTAAGTGTCAAGTGTAAAGTGTAAAGCGTGGAGTGTATTGTGTAGAGTGTGGGGTCTGAAGTGTAAAGTGTGAACTGTGAAGTGTGGAGTGTAAAGTGTGGAGTGTAAAGTGTAGAGTGTGGAGTGCAAAGTGTCGAGTGTAAAGTGTAAAGTGTGGAGTGTAAAGTGCAAAGTGGGGAGTGTCGTGTGTAGAGTGTGGAGTGTAGAGTGTGGAATGTAAAGTGTCAAGTGTAAAGCGTGGAAGTGTGGAGTGTGAAGCGTAAAGTGTGGAGTGTAGAGTGTGGACTGTGGAGTGTAGAGTGTAGTGTAGAGTGTAAAGTGTGGAATGTCAAGTGTGGAGTGTAAAGTGTAGAGTGTGGAGTGTGGAGTGTAGAGTGTGGAGTGTGGAGTCCAGAGTATAGAGCGTCAAGTGTAAAGTGTAAAGTGTAGAGTGTGAAGTGTAGAGTGTGGAGTGTAGAGTGTAAATTGTTGAGTGTGGAGTGTAGAGTGTAAAGTATAGAGTGTAAAGTGTAGAGTGTGGAGTGTAAAGTGTGGAGTGTAAAGTGTGGAGTGTAGAGTGTGGAGTGTGGAGTGTAGAGTGTAGAGTGCAAAGTGTAAAGTGTAAAGTGTGGAGTGTAAAGTGTAGAGTGTGCAGTGTGTAGAGTGAAGTGCGTGGTGTGGAATGTAACGTGTAGAGTGTGGAGTGTAGAGTGTGGAGTGCGGAGTGAGAGTGTAAAGTGTAGAGTGTGGAGTGTGGAGTGCAAAGTGTGGAGCGTGGAGTGTAAAGTGTGGAGCGTAAAGTCTAGAGTGTAGAGTGTAAAGTGTAGAGTGTGGAGTGTGGAGTATTGAGTGTAAAGTGTACAGTGTGGAGTGTAGAGTGTAAAGTGTGGAGTGTAAAGTGT